CAAATATATATATCCTATATACACCATCATGTATAATGATGGTGTATGATGTAGAAGGAAGTGTGGTAGATAACAAGTAAATATAGAGTTACATACAGATCCATGTTGCAGCAAAAGATGGAATAACTAAGAAGCACGCAGTATAATAATAATTACATGCAACAATTAAATAACTGCTCAGCATCTCCACCACAATCCCAATCTGCTGTGTCCTGTTTTCCTCCCCTCTGCATAACACCCCATCACACATACGAAACACAACGCAGAGTCCGAGGGTGTTAAGAGTATGTTTATTGAAATGTCCTCCTCTCTACTGGCCAACACAGGGAGCATATGCTGGGTGTAGAATTGTTCCAGGAGGAGGAGATTTCCATGCCATGCAGGGTCTTTGGGGATGGGGATGATGATCGCCTCCTTCGTGGTCCACACAACAAAGTAGCAGAGACTCCGGTCTGTGATATGCAGCTGCCCTTGGACCTGGTGCCAGTATGGGTGATTCTCCTTGAGAATATATGACCCACCCTCCTCACGGAGACAGAAGGATGGTAACTGGACTGCCTCCGTGATGGTCATGTTCCTCTGGCTGTGTGGACACTTCACCTCCAGCAGGGCAGATGGCTGCACAAGTCCATCGGGTGATGCTCCCAAAACACCCGACTCACTCACAAAGAGACCAGACTCGATTCGAACACTGTCACTTGATAGGCCTCCACAAAAGCCTTCGGCCTCGTTTACAACCCCCCAGTTGACAGTTGGCGATGTCTCTGGCCAGTGGGTTGTATGTCTCCTCTCGCTGTTGGTAAAGTTGAGACACTGGCTGGACTACTTTGGAAGTGCCAGGCTTCCTCCACTGGCACTCAACATCTGTAGAGCTGATCTGCCACATGGCAAATATTGCCAATGCTGCAGCGTGGCTGCATTTGTACATCTCCTGTGCACAATCACAGACAGCGCTCTGCATCGCGCCATCGTCTCCCATGCAGATCTGTAAAAATAAAGTAAGTACCATTTGTTAGCATGCTATAATAGATTGAATGAGCAATAATGCAAGGATGGTCCGGATCTGGGGGTGGGAGGGTTTATTTTTCCATAGTTTTGTCCTCTTGTCTGTTATTATTGTTTGTTTTTTCTGTATTTTTTGTAATTTGTGTTGTATTGGTTGTGATTGTACATTGTATTTTTCTAAATGTGTATGAATACATTTTTGAAAAACATTTGATCAACAATAAAAAAGGATTTGGTCAGGATCTAGACTCAGTGTGTAGTTTATTAATTAATCAATGCTCTCTACATTAGGAAAACACATACCGGTGTACCAGAGGGAGTCACACACAGCTGTGCCTAGATAACCAAAATCCTTGAATCGACACACAGCAAATAAACTCAAATGACACAACGAGAAAAAGGAGATAACACATACAGTATAGTCGATATAAAACGAAGTTAGATAAAACGAAGTTCTTAAGGAGAAAACTAGTTGCTAAAATAAAACACGTTAGTGTACCTTGTTAGCTAATGTTAGCTAGCTGACATTAACGTTACACATTGCACTCATATTACTCACCGAAACCTTGTAAAGCCGGTCCCGCATGCTGGCTCTTACAGAACCGACTAACTCCCCTTTCATATAGGTACAGCTCTCAACGTGCCCAGACTTGTAGTGATTTTCACCTCGTAAAATACTTTTATTCTCATTCTGAAAGAATGTGGTGAAATGTGCTAACGTGACGGCCATCTTTATGTTGGTGACGCGTATTGTGCGAGACGAGAGACCTGTAGTTCACTGAGCGGTTTCACACGAAAAAATGTGTAACTTCACAGTTTTACGACACATTTTTATTTTTTTGACTTGCAAAATGTTCTTTTAAATTGACAAACATCATATGTGTCATTCGTGGCACAATTCAAACGGGATCAAAAGATAACCTTTCTCTCTCCATTGACTTCAATGTATAATTTTCCGCTTCCGGGGTCCCATGGAGGCTTTCGGAAGGGGAGGGACTTCGCCTCTCTATTACTTAACAGGTCTACAGCCATGATACATAGATCCGTCCTAGATGCGGGCTTGCATACACACAGTATCACTCCGCAGCCGCACCCCATCAGTAACGTCCTGATGGTATATGTGCGCGGCACAGACGGTCAACTTGAAAAATCGCTCGCAAATTGTTAACGATGCCGAGCCGATTTAAAGTACACAAGTAGTACGAGGAACTTAGCGACGCACATAAAGAGTCGACATGGGGTCTGCGGCTGAAAAGAGAAACCTGAAAGTTAGACATATGAGTTAAATCACTCAGTGAGGTGTTCTGTCAGAGAGAGTGGTGTTTAGTTTACAGCAGCCTGTGACGGCCAATAATAGTTTAAATGTAAGCAGTTATGAAATACCTGTTTGTGAAAGGTTATTTGTATTATTTATTGTTCATATAGAACCCACCGCTTTCTGCTCACTGGTGAGTTAGCCTATGAATGAGTGTTAAGCACATCAGGCTGGCAGCTGTATGGGCATTGCTCTATGGTAGCTGTTATTTGCACATTGTTAATCATGAGCAATGCATCCTTACATTGTTTAACTGTGAGGTGTTATACAATTGTACTTCGGAGAGCTTTTAAAGGTAAAAAAATAAAAGGCATGATGGGATGTGCAGTACCAAATATGTAAAGCACTTTTTTGTTAATGTATGATTTGCTGCATATAAGGAATAAAACAAAAATCCTCTGTCGTGCCAAATTGAAGTATCATTATTTTTGCATCGTGTTGAATCGCATCGTATCGCACCAAATCGCATAATGTTGAATCAAATCGTATCGAACTGTATCGCAACAGGGGTGAATCGTATCGTATTGCATCGCCTGGTGTTTCAAATGTATCGTTAATGTATCGTATCGTGGCAACGTATCGAGATGCGCATCGCATCGGCCTCAGTGATGGAGATGCACATCCCTACCCTACAGGCATTTCTGACGGAACAATCACAGCAGAGCAATCGCTCTGATCCACAGGCACGGGACTATCCTACTGCGTGCACTAGTATGACTTCACTAGCGTTGTTTACACTGGAACTTTTGACAGGGGCACAAAGGCCACTTTGGCCGTGAATTGCATTTTTTTTTCACAGGGCATCACGGCCAAAGTGCGGGGCAATGACGGCCATGGCCGTCGTGGCCGTCGTGAAATTCCCACCCTGGTGCTGGGGTGGAAACACAAACACAAGGGACACTGGCAGGCTGAACAAGCTTGTGAGGAAGGCTAGCTCTGTAGTTGGACAACTGGACAATCTGGAGGAGGTGGCAGAGGGGAGGACGAGGAGGAAGCGCGACAGCATCCTAGAGAACCCCTCCCACCCACTCCACGCAGAGCTAGTGAAGATGAGGACACTAACAATCATAAAGTGGTGTAAATATGTGGAGATTATCCTGCTGAACAAAACCGGTAAGTATCATAAAACTGAATCAGGAGATACTTACACTTTTACAGTCAGCCAAGAGAGAGCGGCCGGTTTAAAATCACCTAACATTCATTAGTGCGTACCATCGGTCAATTCTAGGTTTAACTGTCAAACAACATAATATATTAGATTCAACTATTAGTATTGCTTTCAACCAACCTAATACAGTTATGTGAAACTTGTTGACACATTTCAGTTATTTCAGTGTAAATCAAAACCTACATATGTAGAAGGGCTGGTTTATCAGAGGTGGCCAGACTGCAGGATGTTACACCCAAACTCAGGATCACTTATTTTCAAACTGAGGCATCAATACAAACTTCAGCTTTCACAATCTATATCAGAAAGTTGATAAATGCTTTCATTTTTAAACAAGAATTGTATTAAAAAGCATGGAGACATCTTTGTTGTTATACAAACATCACAGCATGTCCTTTATGCTACATTCACCGTAGATAGGCTAGCTGTGGGTTTACATATATAGTATACAGCAATAATATTCTGTATATCTTTCCCCTTCAGTGCAATGCTACTAACAAAAAATAATATCTATTTTTTTTTTTTATTGTATTAATTAAGTTTTAGAATATATTGGCTTCTATTTTGAGTATATTTAGTGAATGAAAAAGCACATTATATTGGCACACATCAATAGACACTACTATTTTAAATTATAATTAATTATGAGATTAGGAGCCAGAAATCCTGTCTCTCTTTGTGACAATTTCAGGAGATCTCGGGTCCCTCCGTTAGCCTATAGACTAGAGACTTAAAATATTAGGCCACCTTTGTCTGTATTAACACTAGAACCGCCAGAGATTTTTTTATACCTAAAACCGCCACCGGGGTCAAATTGACCCGGTATTAGAATGCATTGATTTTCAAGGTAAAAGTATTGCTTTAAAAAGAAAAATGGTCCTGTGGTATTGGTATTCTTGCAATTTTGTTGAATTGTTTCGTTTATGAACGCTACAACATAGCGTTTCGTGAGGCGGTTGTCGTTGTTGGGTGAAAAGCAAACAGCTGTTTGCTAATCTATAAGGAACCGCAGTAGACAAAAGGCATTGCCATAGCAACACGTCATGTTTGTTTACACGCAAAATCAATAGCGCGAAAAGGGGTGGGGTCAAAATGACCCGCTGGGCGGAAATAGGTATAAATGGCAATTTCTTTGGCGATTTCTTCAATCTGACTTCATATTGACAATTTTTAACAACATAGGGTGCTACATAACATACTTTCAGGAAAAGTCACGGACTGGGAGACTTTAATATTTTATTGAAAAAAAGTTACATACAATAAAAAACAGCTGCGGGTCAAATTGACCCGATTGGCGGTTCTAGTGTTAAGGCAGTGTCTGACCAAGGGGATAATATGTATTTAATATTCCATATCCGTGGCTCAATGTAAATTTAAATATCTTAAATATCATCTGGACTTTTGATATGATAAGCGTAAATATGTCTTGTGTCTTTATAGTGTCAAAGCTCAAAAATCTGTTATTTTGTTCAAGATACATCTTAAGTCTATATTATAGAAACTTTAAGCAGATCAAGTTCATTTCCTTAAGGCTAGTATAAGCTGACTGCATGTGGATATAATAGGAGAATGAAGGTTTGTGTAAGGAGGGAAGGAGGAAGCAGTGAAGATGAAGCGCTGTTTATTTGAAGGAGGCGCGGACCTGACGGCCCTTCAGAGGCTGGGGGGGGGCGGTAGTTGTCCACCATGCAGCATGGAGCCTCTCCTTCTCCGGTGAAGAGGAGGCCGCGGAACCTGGCCATCTGATGAAGAAGGAGAGACACAGTGTTTAAATCAATGAACCTGTGTCCTGGACACGTACCCACCACACTATGTTGGTGTAATATAGATTGTACACTGTTTACTATTTTCAATGTTTCTTTGAGACATAAAAAAAGAAACGCCTAACACTTGAAAAAAAATCAACAATATGAAAATGTCATCCGATCTGGGACAGCGGAAATAGAAAATCTGAGATCTTTACTACTCCACTACAATGAAGTGGTGAGGTACAGTGGAAAATAGGCTTTATGGCAGACACATGTCCATGAAACATAAATACTCTGTTCAGCAGGATAATCTCCACACACACATCCACACTAGTTTATGATTTTTGAAGCATAACTGCAGTCGGCTGAGGTAAACATCTGGCTGTAAACCAACTACCTCATGGTCACATGTCTGCGATCACCACCACCAAGCTGAAGACCGACTCGTGATGACGTTTCGTCTCATTTAGTCACTTTGTTAGCTACAGCCGCATTAATGACAGTTTCAGACATTCACCAGTGGGGTATTTACTGACGTATTTCATGTAGTAGAACCAAACGTAAAAGTCTTGTACGATTTTCCAGACGTCTCATTCCAGGCTTCTAACCACAAACACGTTAAAAAAAACCTTGACTTGGACGAAGGAAACGGAAGTGGTCAAATGTTGTGTTTTTAGGGGTTTTATGACTCAATACTACACAACTATATAGGTCAGGATTGGGGTTCACTCCAAGTGCAGATATAGGAGTGCACTGCTAATCTTTCTTGCCAGCTCAAGCACCATTGTTGTATTCAAACAAATCTACTCCAAGCAATTCCGAACTAGGTTGTGCATGGTGGCGACAACATCAGAAATGAACTGTCTGTCAGTGCGGACTGTATGTTACAAACTCAATTCATCATACCCAAAGAGAAAACTCGCTGCTAGTGTCTCTTTATTCTAACTGAAACATGTATTTTTTAGAGAGTTGCTTATTGATATATTATACTTGACTAATTAAAGAGAGTCACTATATGCCACCCACCTCAACATGTGATCCATTTACCACCTGGTGGAAAACAGCTGAAAGCTTTGCTCCTGTCTTTAACAAAGTGACCACACCAATGATCACATGACTCCATAAGGTTTTCTAATACTGGATCACTGATAAGTACCCAATGCTTGAAATGGTGTTTGTTATGAAGAATCTATGACTTGCACAGATTCAAAAAAACTCTTGGTTTCAGACAGGCCAACACCTCCAGGCAGAGCCAGAAAAAACAGGTCAATATCCACGTCACCTGTCACCTGCAGTAACAGGTCCAGGAGAGGGCTTCTACTGGGGTTTGAATCTCTGTCTTCACCAACTAAGCCTTTGGAACCTCTGTTTTGGTTCATTGGAAGATTAACATATTTAAGGTTGTTTAGGGGGAGAGCCATAAGAAAATGTCCACACGATTAGTTAGCCAAGAGAGTCACGACAGAAAGCATTCCTTCTAATTCAACAATTTCTGACTAGGTGGGCATTACAAAACGTCCCCGCACATACTGTATGCATGCGTTATGGTACGCCCTATGACCTTCCTAGCTATATTTAAATGATATTTAGTCTGCAATCCAGATGTGGCTTCACTTCAGTTGTTTGGCTCTCAAACTTCAAGTTCAATATTACATGTATTTGAATACTAAAACAACAAGCTATAATTATTCCGTAATTCAAGAACAGAGATTGTACAGCAGCAGTTGTGTAACCCCAACAACTTTAAAAACAGCACTGTGCATGTCCAAATATCTGGATGTTATATTCACAGTTTTTTGTATACATTTGTTATATCAAGGTATATAGGGTACAAGTATATATCTACTTCAGATCAGATCAAAGCAGAATCATTGTGTTTCACTGTCTATGTGGCTTTTACACAGGACACACGGGACATTCACAATAAGTCATAATCAAGGTTATCAACTCTAAAATGTATATTAAACAGGAAGTACTCATTTGAAATCTAATGTAAGTAGAGAGTAAGTAGAGAGTGAGTACGCACCTGAGTACGGCTGACACTGATTGGCTCCTTGAGGACGATCCAGCTGACGCTCTCCAACAGAGGGGGCGTGGTCAGAGAGCCGGCATAGGTCCAGAAGTCCAGAGAATCAGGCAGGAGGGTCTTTGGGTCGAAGTTAGCAAAGACGGTCTGCTTCCCCTGCAGGTGTGAGGGCGGAGGAACAGGGAAGAGGGAGTTAGGAAAGGAAGGGAAGCAGTTGTCACTCATTGTTAACCATTACAAGTGTAGGTCTTCCAAGAATTTAAAATGTGCTTCATTGACAGAATAAGCTCATTTGTCTTCAGAAAATATGTTTTGGGATTTGCATGGATGTGAGGCTCAGGATACGGAAAGCTAATATTTGACCAACTTTCATAGATGAACACCACAGAAGACAATATTATGTTTAGCATATTATCAACCTACTGAAAAACAATATCTAGCTAGAGGGGGGTGAATGTTTATACCAGTTGTACAATCACTTTGATGCTAATAATAATAATATGGTAGATTACAAGGCTACATAAAAACGAGACTCAACGATGCCGGGCTAGTGTGCTACCAAAAGATTTAGCGCTTCACAAAAACAATGCAAATACATTGAAATTGAAACATGACATTACAAATGAAAATGAAAAATGAAATTCATACAATATGTTTATTAGAAAAAGAAGATTTATTCAATACTATTGCTGTGAGCTAAAACAATGCTAATGCAGAGACAGCATCCGTTACTGTGCAAAAAGACATGTATACAATGTGTGATATACATCATGTAATACATCTTCTTGCTGGAAGTGTACGTTGAGTTTGTAGCAGTTTGTACGTTCCTCACTCTGCTTGTTCTGACAGTCAATCATAGTCAGTGCTCTGAGAGTGAAGTTCTTAATAGTTATCGGATTATTAACGGATTATTAACGTGTTTTCGCCGATGGGAACTTGGGTCCCCCTCGCTGCGAGGGGGACCCAAGTTCCCATCGGCGAAAACACGTGGGTTTGCTATCCTGGCTCCAAGATGGTGGAATGAGCTCCCCAGTGACATCAGGACAGCAGATAGCTTGCACATCTTCCGGCGCAAACTGAAAACTCATCTCTTTCGACTCCACTTCGAGCGATAGAACTATTAACAAAGCACTTATATACTAATAAAGGACTGGCTTACCTAAAGCCAGTTGAGTAGCACTTGAAATGTTTGGCTCTATGAAACCTGATGTACTTATATGATTCTGTTTTCTTCAAGGTTATGTCTTCCTGGTCGAATGTACTTATTGTAAGTCGCTTTGGATAAAAGCGTCAGCTAAATGTAATGTAATGTAATGTAATTAATCAGAATCAGAATACCATTATTCGTCCAACAGAGGGGAAATGTACGTTGTTACAGAGAAAGTAAAGAGCCAGAAAGAGTAAAATATTGACATGCATACAATATTAAAGATCAAAATAGAAATTACACAAATAACAACTTCCAAAAATACACATCCAGTATTAACAACCAATAGCAGTATCTTTTTAAATATGTGTATTAAGTAATGTGCTAGCAGCCAGGTAACCGTAGTGAAAGTAGAAGTATGTATTGCACAGTTCAATGTATTTGTAGACGATAAAAACCTTATATAACCTGATATTTCCAGTGGCTTATCAGAATGTATCGTAGCAGTAGCATGTATGACTTTTAGGAAACATTGGTAAGCACAGTAGTAAATCGACCAATAATTTATGGAAGGCTAAGCTTCTCTAGCGTTTTTACCCCCCACCACTGATTTTTACCTTGGTCTTAATGCTGTCAAAGGCATCCAGAACCTTCTGAAGCCGGGGGTTGGCGACACTGATCTGAAGGACAGAGACTAACAGTTACATGTACACTAAACCCAGCTTTATTTATTTAGATTGTCTCTTAACCTTACACCGTCCTGTGAACGGCATGCATACTTAAAGCTACCCCCCACTCCCTGCCTCCAGTGCAGTCAGACTGAGACTCACCTTGAGGAAGACCCCCACCACTGCAAGGCCATCAGGCTGGCTGGCTGCCTCTCCAAAGCTGGGGTACTGAGTGTTCCAGTGCACCAGGTGAAGCTAACAGGGAAAGAGGCACATTTTAAGACCCAGTCTACAGAAAGTGTGTCATGTTGTCCAAAATATACTGTAACATGTGCAATAACGTGGATATTTTACAAATAATAAGACAGATCTCTAAAAGACGACCAATGCAAAATGTTTCAGCCAGAGTTTGAAGCACATCTGTGATAATGTCAGATGTATCTGACAAATATAAATATACCCTTTTCTTTATTATTAGAGATAAACCACCAGTCTGATTGTTATGACACTTGGTGGAATAGTATGACATGGGCCAAGAAAGAACCCGTTACGTCTTGAAGCAGACGGAGTCTACAGGTCAGATATGTGAATCACTGTTCACTTATGGAAACGATCCATCTAGTTAATTTATTTCTTAATAGCTTCTAAAAATAACCTAATTTGAATATATTGGAACTAAAGACACTGGAATCTATCAATGTAATACCCAATGTGTTTTTGTATTGAGTAATGTAAACTCCAGTCACCCCCAGTTATTTCTTAAACAATTACAGAATGCCCCTTGTGTGTTTTCATACAGAACCATTAAGAACAGTATTACTCTTAAATGTGTACTGAATCCTCTTGCCAAAGACAGGGCAGCTCCACCATCACAGACCACAGGCTGTCCAGGCCCTGTTCCTGCAGGGTTAGTGAAGCAGCAGCTCCTTCAGTACCTCACAGGGGGACTTGATGCCGTTGACGGTGTGTTCGGAGCCTCTGTCATTACTCGCTCCCCAGTGGAAATGAAACTGCTTCAAACGGTACGTTCCAGAAATAGGACCTCCAGTCAGGACTGGTGAGCACAAAAGTCATTACAGATGCAAAATGTCAATCTGAATTAAATACTGTAGTTCTGCACATTCTACAGACCTTTGATGGAAACAATTATGGAGAAATCATCATCTGATTTTTATTATTTAGTGGTGTTAATACGCAGGTGGCGGCCGGACCATAGGGGTGCCGCCCCCCCTCTTCCCACATGTTTGATTGTCATTAAAAAGAAACAAAATTAAAATATATATATTTAAAAAGAAAAAAAAACATTTATTTTTATTTTTAATGAACAAGGTAAATATTATTGGTATCAGTAAAATGTATAATCTACAATAAAATCTCGTTTAAAATTGTGTTACGATGTCTAAAGTTACTGATAAGTCACATGTTTCCTGCCTGGCCGCAGCGTGTATCATTACCCTCTCTCGTCTGGGCGCTAAGAAAGGAGCCCTCAGCCAGATCAGCAGCAGCCAACACATTGCTGACTGTTGCTATCTGTAAACTATGCCGCCGAAACATAATTTCAGCCAATCAGCATCGTCAGATCTGATGGTCATAGGGCGGCAATTTCAGCGCCCAATGCAGTCTGTGAGTTGTTTGGACCCATATCCAAGGTGACGCTACAGTAGTTGTCGAGGATGGCTGCGTCTGCAGGTGGAGACTCCGGTGCTAGTGGATCGCTGGAGCTATAGATTAACATTTACATGCTTATTGTAGTTGTAAGGGCAATGCCTGTATCACCATGGAGCTATGTGTGGGCTGGACCTGTATTTTACAGGAAAGGAGTGAGCAGAGGGGCGAGTTGTCGATTCTTGTTCAGTTTTCTGTGACTCCTCACCCTCTCAGACTTTGAGTTGCGCGCGCTACTAAAGTGACGCGCTACCATGGAAACCAAACAATGGTGTAGCTGTATTAAAGTCAGAGTGGAAACAGTCGTGAGTAAATCTGATTTTGTCAGAAATCAGGAGAAATGCGGGAGAAATATGACCCCGGGAGGAAACCGGGAGAGGGCAATGAAATCGGGAGTTTCCCGCGAAAATCGGGAGGGTTGGCAAGTATGACACACACCAGGGACGTGCACAGACATTTGAAGGGGCTATTGCTCTAAACTGGAAAAAGGCCCCCCCCCCGAAAAAAAACACAAGACCTTTTGAAAATTGTAACTTGTTTTTAATGTAAAAGAAACCAAACGATTATTATATCAACTAAATTGAACAGTAAATCACATCTCATAACAAAATAAGCTAAGGCGACTACTTGCATTCGGTGACTTGATTTTAAAAATGAAAAACAGGGACATTTTTTATTTTGCTGTCCATATCTCATTAACATATCTAATGTTAGTAACTATTAAAGATAAAATGGGTACAATTCTGTTCTAATGTAGTTTGACCATTGTAACTGCTGTGTAGACATACTGAAAAAATAGGGCCTCTAACTAATTACCCTAAATAAACTCACTAATTAATTAAACCAGTTCAATACACATTATTCTTATCATTCTTTATGAGCGCAGTAACGGTAAGGTATCTAATAACTTATTTATTTAGTATTCCATAACTTATACTGAACAAAAATATAAACGCAACACTTTTGTTTTTGCTCCCATTTTTCATGAGATGAACTCAAAGATCTGAAACATTTTCTATATACATAAAAATAAACATTTCTCTCAAATATTGTTCAAAAATCTGCAAAAATCTGTGATAGTGAGCACTTCTCCTTTGCCGAGATAATCCATCCCACCTCACAGGATTAGACAGCATGATTATTGCACAGGTGTGCCTTAGGCTGGCCACAATAAAAGGCCACTCTGAAACGTGCAGTTTTGCATTATTGGGGGGGTCTGGGGGGGTCCGAAATCCAGTCAGTATCTGGTGTGAGGGGTAGGATTAGGGTTAGGGTTAGGGTTAGGGTTAGGGTAATGTTGTGAATTGAGTGGCCCATGGTGGTGGTGGGGTTATGGTATGGGCAGGCGTATGTTATGGATGACGAACACAGATCACTCAATTCACAACATTACCCTAACCCTAACCCTAACCCTACCCCTAACCCTAATCCTACCCCTCACACCAGATACTGACTGGTTTTCGGACCCCTCCAGACCCCCCAAATAAAGGAAAACTGCACGTTTCAGAGTGGCCTTTTATTTTATTTAAAGGCACACCTGTGCAATAATCATGCTGTCTAATCAGCATCTTGATATGCCACACCTGTGAGGTGGGATGGATTATCTCGGCAAAGGAGAAGTGCTCACTATCACAGATTTTTTCAGATTTTTGAACAATATTTGAGAGAAATGGTTATTTTGTGTATATGGAAAATGTTTTAGATCTTTGAGTTCATCTCATGAAAAATGGGAGCAAAAACAAAAGTGTTGCGTTTATATTTTTGTTCAGTGTAATAACAGAGATGGTCAAACTAAAGTAGTAGAGACATGGCAGAAATCCTACAATGAAGCGGGACAGTGAACTGTTCACCCGTGAGAGGGCGATCAACAAAAGAGAGCGAGCGGCGCGTTGAGGGAGTTTACAGATGAGAAGACACAGAAAGACAGAAGCTCAAAAACAACAAGTAGGCTATATTTAGGTGTTTTTTGTAAATAACCGAAGGTATCAAGAGGAAGTAAAGTCCCCTGGTTTGTCCCTTATACCCTAACTGCCATGAGAGAACTCAAAATCAAGTTTCCAAAATCCGACACTGAGGTGGTCTTAACGCAGCGGCAGATGACAGCGCTGACAAAGTGTGTTTCCCGCAGCGAGACGCTACAATACTGATTGTGGGCTCATCATGTTGATTCGGCCACAACAGACAAAATAAAAACAAACTCTCGCTCTCTCCAGAGGGGCAGGTCAGCCAAAAATGCCAAACGGACCTGTGCACGTCCCTGACACACACACACACACACACACACACACACACACACACACACACACACACACACACACACACACACACACACACACACACACACACACACACACACACACACACACACACATACCATGTATACATCGCTTCAGGGGACATTACATTGACTTACATGCATTTCCTGGAGACTTATCCTAACCTTAACCATAACCAACACATGCCTAACCCTTACTCTTAACCTTAACCTAACCCTAACCCTAACCCTAACCATAACCAACACATGGTTATGGTTATACCCTTTACCCCTTACCCTAATCCTAAACAAGTCTTCACCCTAAAATGAATGATTCCCCTCATGGGGACCTCCATTTTGTCCCCATAAGGGCGGCGAGTCCCCACACGTGACTGTGTAAACAGATTTAGGTCCCCACAAGTATAGTAATGCTAGGCCAGACATACACATACACACACACACACACACACACACACACACACACACACACACACTTTGTTCCCAAAGCACCAGTGTTCTGCAGTTTGTGTGGACCTACTGTACTGTTGCACAGTTTATACTGTAGAAACTATGTCCAGGACAAGGTATTTGGAAGTTTTGGAAGATTCATAGCTTTTTAAGCCCCGCCCCCCCTCTCACATCAACAGAAGTCATAATTTAAGGGGTCATTTCTCAACATTTTCTTCCCCCCGAACCCCCCTAGTATGGTTTGGTCACCATCTCCATAGCCCCACCTAAAATATTTTCCACCAGCCGCCACTGCTGCTGAACAAATGTTCTGCAATATTACAAAGTATTTGGAAAAATCTCATTGCTTTTTGTTGAGGGAGTCTTTGTGATGCTAACTTCTGGGTCGGCCAAAAAGAAAAATCTATTACCACTGCAGCAGTCTATACTATATAATACTATATAATAACAATACTATACAATACAATACATTATTACATGGCTTAGTTGAATACTCGATTCTGATCCTTGACCGCTGTCAAGGATTTATTGACCGTTGTTAAGGACGTCTGCAGAAAGAAGTCCAGTCGATTGAACTGCATGCATTTTTCTTTTCAAACTGGGACAAGAAAAACTGCGGAGAAGTAACGGGCAGAAACCCTCCTTTTTACGCAACGGTCCAGACATAGACATCAAACGGCGACACATATTCAGTGTGCAGTTACTTTGGCATTAGGGCAGGGATATCTAGATACTTTCCAAGGTTTGACATCATGAATTGTGCTACTTTTAAAGCAAGCAACAATGTTTTCAAATCTGTAATCAAAAAGGTCTGCAAAAACACTATAGAAGCTCTTCCTGCCGTTGCTACGTAGTTCAAACGGTAACAACGGACTATTTTTCTTAGCGGATGCATGTCATTTAAAATAAATAATAGCCTACTATTTTTTAAATCAATAAAAACATTTTCTAAATCTATAAAAGCATTTCAATTAATATTGGAGCCATATCGTTACTTTGTTGAGAATGTGGCCGTGTGATAAGCGGGATAATGTGCAGCGACTTGGTCATTATGGGGAAAAGAACACCCGACAGGCTGATCAAGATCCCTCCGCTGTCGGGTGTTCTTTTACCCAGAATGCCTCGCTGCACATTATCCCTTACATCATATTATAATATATGATTTATTTTGCAGCAGAAATCTAGTTTTGCCAACAGCTTTACAACAAACGAAACAAGGACAATTAAGATTATAGATGTTGTACATTTAAAACATATACCTAACTATATTTCTGTGGCTTAGTGTCCTAACACTGGAAGCTGAGCGGTTGAACTTACTGGAACTGTTGGCGTCGTCCTCGTAGTCCACCTGGAAGGAGTGTCCGTTGTTGAGAATGCCCTTAGCGTTGGAGGGGTCGTACTTGAGTTTCAGAGACTTCAGAGTGGAATCGTACTGGGCCTCCTTAGGGACGATGTTGATGGGAGACTGTCTTCGCCCGTTAGCCACGGGGAAATCTTTGCCCCATTTTTCAGGCCCTACAAATACATAATACATTTAATACCTCATGTTAATGTGTTATGTGTGGAGCACTTTAGCTCCAGCTTCTTTAAAGTGAGTACATACGTGGCAAAGAACATACTTCTTCTGTTGGCGTCTTGTCTTTGTTTTTTAGTGCGGAAATACATATTCAGATATGAATTATAAATAATAAAAGTTTCATATTCAATATTATTTTCAAGTGAACGCAGCTGCTGTGTGATATTAGGAACATTTCAATACAATGACAGCAGTGCAAAATTACTCATAACATAACAAATATTTACTTACAGAAGGCTAATTACTAACTGTTTATTAGTACTAAATTGCAATTTGAGCAGCATTTAAACACTGCTGTGTCACTAAGTTATACAATAAATGCACCTTATTTTTATCATTGTATAGTAGTATTGTCTATCATCTGATGCCTACAAGGTGAATCAAACGATACCTGAATACAACATTTAATAATATCATAAAAGTAAAAGTTCCCCATTTAAATATGTTTTGTTATCATTCAAATAAACAAACAATTAAGTTAATGTTATAGAATGTGCAGGTAATTCTGTGAGGTGGAAAGTCCACTTTTTAAAAGTTTTGAAAAAGTTTGTTTTGCAAAACCTACTTTCATAACATGCCCAGCAGATTCTGAAAAGTTATGAATATATAATCAAACTAGGGCTGTCAAACGATTACAATTTTTTATCAGATTAATCACAGCTTAAACATTAATTAATCATGATTAATCACCATTTGAACTATGTCCAAAATATGCCATTTCTTTATGTATATTGTTGTGGGAATGGAAATATAAATGAAAGAAGGCAGATATATCCATTTAACATACAGTAGCCTACAGGGGCGGACTGGCCATCGGGACGTTCGGGACGAATCCCGATGGGCCGGTACTGAAGTGGGCCGGTCGGACGATGTGGGCCGGCCGGTAACCGGCAGGGCTCGACATTAAATGGCCCGCTGGCCCGGAAGCACTATTTAGACACCCCGGGCCAGCATAACGTACTTTCCACTTGCCCGCTCGGGCCACTAAAAATATTGCTTTAAAAAAAATGGTCCTGTGGTATTGGTATTTTGACTAGCAATTCAGTTAAATTGTTTCGTTTATCAACACTACAACATAGCGTTCCGTGAGTCGGTTGTCGTTATTAGGTGAAAAGCAAACAGCTGTTTGCTGCGGAGCGCAGCGGGAGAAGGCTTTCGTGAGTGGGATTCACCAAATATTTGTAATACCAGCCGGCCAAAAAACAATCTTCAAATAAAAGAAAGTCACCGGAGGAGTTAAATGAGAGTGACAGGGAGCAGGAGAAGAAGAGGGAGAGAAAGTTTCAGCCAGCTTGATCGATGGAGTTGGCTGCAGTGACACATCCTAAAACCCTGTTATAATCTATCGATTAGATTTATGATTCGAAAATTATAAAAGTAGGGTAGACATGTGGATATTATCCGGCTGAACAAAACGTGCATTTATCAAACAGGTTTGTTTTCCACAGACCTTATTTCCAGCTATTTTCCAAAACCCTTGTCGAGGGAACCAGCAGCTTACTTCCTGGTTTTAGGACGCGTCACTGGCTGCACCTCTCAATATGATGCCAATATAAACAAGGCCTTCTGTAGGCTCTGTACATCAATGCCGACCTATGCTGACAAGTAAGTGAAGAGTAGACCATATAAAGGTATTGGCGAAATGTCCCAGCAGTTTAGGATAATAAGGTTCTAATCAAATCAATTACATAGCCATTACATGTCTAACTCCTAATGAGAGGAAGGCAGAAAGTGCATTATACAAATAATAATAGGCTACTCATAATAATAGCAGACATTTTTTAACAATGACCACAATATCATTATTTTAATAAACCAAATATGAACAATTGAGGAAAATGAGGAAGAACTGATCATTAAAATGTTGTAGTACAAGTAGTGATGTAGTTAGTGCATAAATTACTATTGCAACAAATGTGTTAATTTTCTTCATTATTAGTCGATTTTTTTTTGGACGAATGCTCCGGGCCAGTGGTTACAATGGTGGGGCCAGTGATAATACAAGTCCACCGGCCCGGAGGTAGACATTATTTACCCTTAATGTCTACTGCTAGTAAATTGTCTACCCCCCCCCCGTCGACAATTTACTAGCGGTATTTACTTGCGGTACCGCGGTGGGCCGGCGGTACCGAAGTGGGCCGGTCGAGAGTCCCGGGCTGATTTGTAGTCCCAGTCCGCCCCTGGTAGCCTATGTATGTATGTTTATTATAACATTGTTCTGTGTGTCAAAATGAAAATCGGCCCACACACCTATCAATCATCAAACCGTGGGGTCTTCTTTCATTACGCGTTGATTTCTATCAACACAGGGGGGGGGGTGATCTGGAAAAGCTTCACATGTACGTCGGTACGCAAATGCGCTTTGTGACACAAGTGACGGTACGCATTTCAGATTACGCACATAACCTGCGTACCAGTTATGTGCACCTACTACAGCAAAAATATTCTCCATCGGGACTTCCTGCAACAACACCACGCCGTTATCTTGATTCTGATTGGCCAGAAGACATTATCAAAGATGTTCTATTGAGAAGACGATCACTACGTGACAAAAGTTTTCAAAACCGTTTCTGGTCTTCGGTATTTCCAGACAAGTGGCTACTGAAATCAATCTGACTGTTACGGCCCGTGTACACTACAGGCGTCAACAAATGCTTTCAACGCTTCGCCCATTCATTTGAATGGGGTGACGCAGGATATTTTCAAACTTCGCCGAACTGCATTGTGGGTAGCATGGCAAGGCGTTGCAAGCATCGCGAGCGTCTATCGGCGTCAAAAGTTGAACAATGTTCAACTTTTGAGGCTCGATGCTTGCTCGAAGCTGGCGTCAGCCAATGAAATCCCATTTATGCAAATCTGCCAGTACAAGCTAGCCAATCAAACCGCGTGTATGCTGGGAGAGACTACGCAGGTCATTTCCTCATATTCAAAAAAATGGAGGGAAAATTCATTATAGCGGTAGTGAATCACCCGGTGCTGTATGATCAGTCTCTGTTCATCTACCGGGATACAAACCGGAGGAGCGAGGCATGGAGGGAGGTGGCAGAGACAGTGGGTGAATCTGGTAGGTTTTCGCCTGTTTCGGGATTTTATATCCAGTTTACTTCGTTTTAACTTTGCTATTGCTTTGTATGTCGGGGGCGGGCGATTCATGTGATTGGTTGTTGGTCGCGTTGCTCGCAAAAAATCGCCAAGCCTCAGACACGCCCAACTTCAAGCTTTTTCGACGCCTGTAGTGTAGACGGACCGTAACTGCTGTCTGTGCAATTTACTCCGCGCGAGTTGGCGGACTTTATTTTGCTTCCTTTAACATCATTTTTCATGGTGGGGCTAAGCCATTTCTTGGTATGGGTGTAGCCTACCCCAGCCATACCCTGGCGCTGCCACTGGTGGGATGTATGGGGCGGGCCATTCGGCACATGCGTTAAATGCGTTGAATATTTTTAACGCAATTAATTCAAAAAATGAATTACCGCCGTTAACGCGATAATTTTGACAGCATTAAATCAAATAAAAAAAATCATAAGATATGAAATATTTTCATTTTTTTCCAGTAAGTACATTACATATTACATTACATATACGTCAGAACGTTGTGTCCTTGGGCAAGACACTTTACCCGCATTTGCTCCTGTGGGTAATGTCCGCAGTAATGACTCTTACATGTCTAATATGTGTAATGTGTAAAGCGCTTTGAGCACCTGTAAAAGCGCTCTAATAAAAAATGTAATGCATTATTATTATTATTATTATTATATTAAAGTTAACTATCAACCCTGCCTGATTACTGAAGTAGGCTTATGTAATAAAAGTGGTGGAGAGTAAATAAGTATATTTACTCAAGTAAAGTACACATTTGAGGTAGAACTACTTGTACTTGAGTATTTTGTTTTTGTGCAACTTCATGTTACTTCACTACACTTCAAAGGGAAACACTTAACTTTTTACTTAGTTAGTTTATTTTTCTTACGTTTTTAGTTACTACGTACTTTATAAGTTCAGAGTTTTACACAACACTTAAGATCTAGGAAATTATGCTTCAATATTGACTCAAAACATTACCAATGAGTGGGTTGAGGGAAAATGTATTAGCAGTCATATTGCAAATAGTTTTTAGTTAAGAAACATTTCACAACGTTTCAGTTTCTCAAAAGTGAAGATTTGCTGCTTTTATTTTGGAAATATTTTAATAGTTGAGATCTGAATACATTTGAGTTTTTATGCATTAAGCACTTTTCATCCTAAAACGTTAATTACATTTCCCTATTCATACCTTAATACCTTCACTTAAGTAGTATTCTCAGTACTTTTACTTGTCTTTTTTCCATTATAGTATTTACTTTTACCTAAATGATCTGAACACTTTGTACACCACTTTGTAATAATTTAAGTAATGTAATTGTTAATGAGGAGTGGTCTGCACTGACTGCACACAGAGTGTAGGGCAGCACGTGTCCACCTGTTACTCCTGAACATCCCATCATACTGAGCTCACCGTTATTCGCTCCGTATCCCCATCCGTGAGACATGGCTGCTGCTCCTGATCACACACACACACACACACACACACACACACACACACACACACACACACACACACACACACACACACACACACACACACACACACACACACACACACACACACACACACACACACACACACACACACACACACACACACACACACACACACAGATTAATCCGCGCCAACCTGCGGGTCACAGATAGTGATAAGGCTGCTGACACACGGGGCTTTATGGCTATCCCTCAGCCTCACACCGGGGGGGGGGCTGTTGGTCCCCAGTAGGCCGGACTATCGGGAGGACGGAGCCTCCACCCAGATATGCGATGATGGTGCCTGGAGCTCTCCACCTCCCCTCTCTCCTCTGCCTCCCTGATCCTTTCTTGGGGAATTCATTCAGTGGAGAGGCGGTGTGATGTCTGTCCTCTGCGCTCCCTGTGGATGAATCCATGTTGCGCGCACCTCATCCACATGATATCCATCAGCTGTTCCAGGGTCAGTGAGGGTGAGGATGGTACGGTCCAGCGGATTTTGTTGCAATATCCTGAAGTGTGCAGGCTTCTTTCACCTGCTGCCAGCCTCCGTTCATCCCGGTTATCCGGTACCTGCTTTAGGTAGGCTTCCAGCGGCATGGGACGCAGCTGTCTGCAGGGCCGGACAGAGACATGCTGGCGCCGGATGCGGACCCCTACAGACACGCATGTCTTAGGACAGAGGGGTGTACTATGCCCCCTGAAATTGTGAATTTATGATATTTGGCGACATAAATAGACATTTCATTGAGATTGACTCCCTTACCTGCACAAGTAAAACACAACTTAAAAGTACACACACAGAGACACACACACATTTGCCTTAATTAATGGTTAGCTTAAAAAGGCCCCTTCTTTTCTGCATCTGAAAAAGGTATTATTTTAAACAAACTGCTTGGGGAATTAGTACTCACCTGTTCCAGTGATACAGTATGTTCCTCTGATGTAGGCTGTGGGTAATACAAAACGCAACTAACCTAGAAATATATAAATATCTAACACCAAAATATTGTTTTTCTTCAGTGCTTTGTTTCCAGGTGACTGTATCCATGGTAACAGAACAGGACCCCAGAGCAGATCGTCAACATGTAACAGCTTCAGGAAATAAAAGTAGGCCTATATATTTATTTGTACTGTAATGCTTACACTTTTTGTCAAGTATTTGACATCACCAATACAAAGAATGCCAAATCAACATGGAAACCAATGTATTACAATTTATTATAATAACAAACAAATATTTGTATATTGTTTAAAACTTTTTTTTTCTTAAAAAAACGGTTCGATAATACTTATGGTGCCACCATATACAAATTAAATGAAGGCCTTTCTGAGTAATATATCTGTACTATTGGATGCTGTTTCTCCTTGTGTTGAGATAAATGTGCATTATGACTTTTTATAATATGAAGGGACAAATGAGCTGCCAATCAGCTATTTTGAAGACGAGGATCCATCAGCTCCATGTTCTCTATAAACCTCCAGCTTCTATCAAAGCCCCATTGAGTTGTTTGTGAATTTCACTTCTTTGATGACATCTGGTGGAAGCATCAGAATCAGAATCAGAATCCTGGCCGAGGGCAACGCACAAGAATAAAACCAACATTTACATCCCCAGCTTTCACAGACCCTGGAAACACAGTTTACTACAAACATGAATATATACTAAGAATACTGGCAAGGATGTGATAATCACATACAATTCTAAATGTTGTAACATGTTGTGCGCTCAGGAAGTGTAGCTGTTATTTACTTTTTCTGTCTGGTCATAGATTTTTGGATCTTCTTTCTTGAAATCATGTAGACAGCTGATGCGCAAGTACCACTCTGTGAATAGCATCTTAGATGAATGAGGCCTACTCAATTTGTAAAAGCAGCTTACATTTTATTTGTATTGTTGTATTGTAAAACTGTAACAAACTCTCAAAACAAAAAAGTCTGCCCCAACACTGATTAGCCTCTAATAAAGCCACTTTGTTGCCACTACTTTTTATATTTTGTTCATTTTTAATCAAATTAATTGATTGATTAGTTTTTTTATGAGATTCTATTCATCGAATTACATTTTTACTTAAAATACATTATTGCCTTGTTTTTATCTCGTATTTTGTCCTGATGTCTATTCATATCTAAAATGTATGTCAAGTTATCTTATTGAGGCCATTCTAATAAATGTGAATCTAAATCGTAAAGCATCAGCATCCAATATTGACATGCATGATATGCATTCGTACCAACAATAATAACATATTCTGGGTAAACGGCTAGTGTTCATCTTAATCTTTCTACTAAATGTATTGAATATCACAGAGTCAATATATTTAATGCCATCTAGTGGTTGGAAAAAAGACAGCTTTGATACCAACACTTTTGGTAATAGTTATCCCTCGCACGGCAGGGAAGCCCGTGGAGGAGCGCGCTGCGGCGCCTGAGGAAGAGCCAGTGGTAGCATGCGACTAAACTGCACCCTCTCCTCCTCTATGCGGCTGAAGCGCTGGGTGACCGAGGATATCGCTCCGAAGAGCCCCTCCGTGGACACGGGGGCTCCAAGGAGATCCTCTCGGTCCTTCTTGGATAGGGCGGTGAGTCCTAGCCACACGTGACGCGACGCCACTGTGACCAAGGACATCCTCCACCCTGCTGCTGCGGCCACTCCATGGATCAGCTTATTCATCTGACCAATGCAGCGGTCCGGATAATCGCTCCCGTCCTGAGGCGGGAGGGCGGGGGTGTCCGTCTGAGGGGTAAACAGGGAGACACCCAACATGCCAAGGTTATTCGCCGCAGCCGCCATCTGTGCCACGAGCCTGAATATTCTATCCAAATATTCTAAGGTGTCTCGGTCCCGCGGCAGGGGGACCAGAGGTTTCTTTCCCTCCGCTCAACCAGCTGCCTGCGGAAGCAGATGGGCTGCCAGACTCTCGTCGAGGGGGGGCACACCAGGACACGCCGTGTCCGAGCGGCCCTGCACCCTGATGATACCTGCCATGGCTGTTATCGGGGCCTTCGTCCTCAATGGTTGCCGCCACGTCGCCTCCACATACTGCCAGTCATCTGGCACCGGGGGTGAGACGAAGGCCGGATGCACGGGCCGTAAAACCCCTGTCGAAGGCGGCTTACTGGCCTCGGTGGCAGCGGTGGAGGGGGGGGGGAGCGGTAGACCCACACGCTCCGCTGCCAGGGTCATCACCGCCGGGAAGTCTAGACGCGCAGACCTGCACTGGACCCTCCTGGCTGGACCCGAAAGTACCAGACAACGAGGCGTCCTCGTCGTCCTGTTCACCCATCTCCACCACCTTGAGGTCCTGATCCTCCGCCTCCTCCGGCGGGCCGAACTTCACCCGGAAAAGATCCCCACGATGTTGGCGGTTTAGCCGAGGGATCATTCGGCAGGCATTGCAGGCCGGTGACTGGCTTAGGCCGTCTTCGCCGTGGTCCGGCCCCAGGCACTGGAAGCACAGGCGGTGCGGATCAGCCCCCACAATCAGGCCAGGGCATGTCGGGCAGGTCCGGTGCTCAAGGAGTGGTGAGTCCACTTTCTTCTCTTTCTCTATTCATGTCTTAGCTCAGTGTTCACTTCCGCTCGCTGAAGAGAAAAGGATGACGGTCAGGAGGCGAGGCATCCTTTTATACGGTGAGATGCGCGCGCATTCAGGTAGGCCTGCCCCGAGGCCGGCTACGTCTATAGAAGTCTCAGTAGGTGAATGCTTGCATGATAAGGTAGTACCCATAGATTCCAGTAGAGGGCGGAGCCTGTGAGAGATATAACGTTTTGAGTTGCTGTCGACTAAAACTAGACTAAAACTATGAAGGATAAAAAGGACTAAAATGTAACTAAAACTAATAACCATTTTCGTATAAAGACTAAGACTAAACAAAGAAGGACGAACTTCATGTTTCCAAACTCATGACCAGTGACTGGGTTTTATGTGTGTGACATACTCGTCACACCTGATGGGAGTAACTCTAGGAGATGCTGGCTCAACGTCACTGGTGAGTAAACTCAGATTTTATCTCTGGTGCAATGGTAGATAAAGATGCAAAGTCGTTGCAGCTTCTGAAGCAGATAATGATTATATAAACTCTTTATTTTCACTAAAAAGAGGTTTTCTCCCTGTCAACATGATGTTACTAACGGTGTATTTTCTACAGCTGCTGCTGAGCTCCAAACTCAGAGACCAACAACCAGAGAGTGAGAGAAACATCTGGATCTACTTTGGAGTGGCATTTACAGCAAGTCTACTGAATGTCTGTGCCGCTGTCTGTGTCTTCAAAGTGTGTCGTACTAAATCTCCTTTTAATCAAAGATACATCAATGAGGATGTACAGGTGATGAGTTCCTCAGAGAAACAAAGAGTTTGAAACCCTCTTAAAATGAATCGTTAAAACATAATGTTATAAAACAAGAAAAGTCCAAGGTTCTCTTCATCTTCTGATTCAACTGTCAGACACGACTTTTGAGGAAGAATGTATATTTTTATGCAGCTATTATGAAGAGAAACCCAAAACATGATACGTAGTGTTTATTGATGTATTCACAGTTTGCTGTAATCACATTACATTCTGTGAGCACTACACAAAAGTGAAAGACACTTTAAAAGATTACTGGAAATGATTCAGATGTATCCACCATGTTTTAACTAATTGATCCTTGATTGGATTTATCCGTGCTGATCGTACATATGACATTTTATTTCTTTATTTTAGAAGAAAATATGCTTTGTAGGAAGACATGAATGTAGTTGCATTAAATATAGTTAGGTGGAGTCGATGAAATTCAAGTGTTGCTGAATTGCAGCTGAAGTTATGTAAATATTAGGGCTGTCAGTCGATTAAAATAGTTAATCGCGATTAATCGCAAATTAATCGCACATTTTTTATCTGTTTTAAATGTACCTTAGAGGAATATTTTTTAATACTCTTATCAACATATGAGTGGACAAATATGCTTTATGCTAATGTTTATTATCATTTGAACAATGGCAAATATTCTCATGAATATTAAACACAACAACCTCTGAACATTACAAATATTCGCCTCAATTCAACCTGGAACCTCTCATACAATACAGTGTGTGTGTGTGTGTGTGTGTGTGTGTGTGTGTGTGTGTGTGTGTGTGTGTGTGTGTGTGTGTGTGTGTGTGTGTGTGTGTGTGTGTGTGTGTGTGTGTGTGTGTGTGTGTGTGTGTGTGTGTGTGTGATCATTGGAGCTATGTGCAACTCAAGGCATATGCTCGAACGGGAGCTGCCTGGACGCTGCAATCATGTTGCGCACTATCCGTGCTGAGTGTGCTGTTATTAACGCGTTAACTTGACAGCCCTAGTAAATATATATTAATGTAGGAACATGTATAGAAAAACGTTATTTGACCTCCATTATCCAAAATGTAGAGTCTCTCTATAGCGCAGAGCAGAACAGGATTTTTGTATTTGGTGCATTTCCCCTCTCTGGGACTAATAAAGGTATTCTGATTCTGATTATATTAATTTTGAGTTAAAATACTAGTGTGTGTGTGTGTGTGTGTATGTGTATGTGTATGTGTATGTGTATGTGTATGTATGTGTGTGTGTGTGTGTGTGTGTGTGTGTGTGTGTGTGTGTGTGTGTGTGTGTGTGCCTCTCTAACATTTCTCCTTCTCCGTGGACATCCTCCCATCATGCCATGCTTCTCTGGTGCTCCTCAGGGCCTTCGTCCTTTTGGGGTCCACTACCACGTAGTCCACACGTGCACGCCCGCCTCGTGCACGCTCCTCACCGGATACAGACTCATCGCTTCCTCCTTCAGCCGTGCAGCGTTTCTGGTTATAATAATACAATAAATTGTGTTGATGCAAACTATTAAAACATGGTAGGATATTTGCAGGGATTTTAGAAAAAAAAGCCTATTAGATAACCTGACGAATAAACTAATAATAAATAATTAATACAAATTAAATACATTTTAAATAATATTATTTGATTTAATATTAATTAGGAAATAAACTATTAATACAAAATAAATATTAAAAGTAAATCAATCAAATAAATACTAGAAAAAGTAAATTAATCAAATAATATAAAAAGTTAATAAATAACATAGATATTACAAAAAATAAATAATATAAAAGTAATACAATTAAATTGTAATTTAATTGAATAAATAATATTTTATTTATTATTGATATTTATAAAAAATAAAATAAACAATGAATACAAACATTTAAAATGAATAAATATAATTATTTATTTTTTTAATATATTTTAATTAATATAAATGTTGGTCCCACAGCAGGGATTTTCAGTGTTGCTGCAGAAATTAAAAAGTGTCATAGCAGACACACTTAATGGTTAAATACACCAATAAAAACAATTATAGAGTAAATAACATAAAGAAAGTGTTTTGTTTTTAAGAGCGTATTGACATGGCGCCCCCTTGTGGTTACACTCCACTACACCAGATGATAATAATTTACTTTATTCACTGATAACTGGAAAATAAAATAAAACAAAGCATTAAATATGATATTGCTGCTCAGTATAATAACAGATTATAATTTAAACATTATTCAGGTGTTTATTTCCCACCTGCCGGGCTGCGCAGGCTCTGCCGGTGTTCAGGTCCAGGTCGAGATATTCCACCTGTTTGTCTCCTCCGGCTCTCCGTAGAACCGAACTGCTGCTCACCCCCACCTCAGAGGAGCGGTGCAGCATCAGCCTCAGAGTCTACACACACACACACACACACACACACACACACACACACACACACACACACACACACACACACACACACACACACACACACACACACACACACACACACACACACACACACACACACACACACACACACACACACACACACACACACAGGAAGTAAGGTTAGATAAAAGGAGATAAAACACATAGGAAGAATTAAGGAAGGAAGGAAAGAGGGAAAGTAACATATGAAAGGAAAAGGTGAAAAGGAAGAAGAGGGAAGGAAATGAGGAGGGTTTAATAGATAGCAAGAAGGAAGGAAGGACTGAAGGAAATAAAGGAGGAAAAAAAGTAAATATGGCGGAAAGGAAAGATGATGGATAGGAATAAGGATGAAGGAAGGAAGGAAAGGAAATAAGGAAAGGAAGGAAGGAGAGGAAGTGTGTGTTTTTGTTACCGTCTCTCCGGTGCTGGAGCTGAGGCTGGAGGTCGTCGACATGGCGACGTAGTTTTCGTCGGGCTCGTCAGAGTCGGAGGAGGGGGGGGGGAGGAGCTGTGAGCCGAGGGGGGTCTGAGTGGAGGGAGAGTGGAGGGACTACACACACACACACATATTATTAAATATTATTGTTTTACAAATATTTAAAACAATAATAAGAAAAATACTATTGCAATAATTTTGGAAATATAATTATTATTGTTGTTATTTATTTATTTGTGTTATTATAATTTTGTACTATTAACTAGTATTTATAAACTGAAATGTTTACTGTTTCTATTTTTATTTGTACAACTTCTAATACTTCTTAAACTTAGTTGTTCTACTTTAATCCCTAATAAATCCACATGTATTCATAACAGTGTAGTACCAATCAGCTCCAGAGCGGGGCAGCAGAGAGCAGCTCTCACACACACACACACCATGTTTACATCACTTCAGGGGACATTACATTGACTTACATGCATTTCCTGGAGACTTATCCTAACATTAACTATAACCAACACATGCCTAACCCTTAACCTAACCAAGGCTAAGCTTAAAATAATGATGTCCCCATAAGGGAGGCCAGTCCCCACACGTGACTGTGTGAACAGATGTAGGTCCCCGCAAGGATAGTAATGATAGATCACACACACACACACACACACACTATTATTTTTTATATCATTATAATTATTAATGATTTATTTATTTGTATTATTACAATGTTTTATTATTATATTAACTAGTGGTATTTAAATGAACATTTTGCAAGTTCCAAGTCTAAAACCTTGACTAGATTTTTTAATATGTATAACTTATTTTTGCAACTCCTAACGAGACTTTTACTCTGTAGTTGTTCTACTTTAATCCCTAACAAATTCACATGTATTATTAACCCCCTGTAGTACCAGTCATCTCCACAGGGGGCATCAGAGAGCAGCTCAGATATTCACTGCCTCTGTGGTACACACTAAATATTGCAGTACTTTGTATTTATTGTTGATGCTGCAATAAAACACACACACACACACACAAACAGACACACACACTTACTCTCGTGTGAAGGTTCGAGTGACAGGTGAGCGGACGGGGGGCGGGACTTCCTGCCAGTCCTGCTGCAGAGGGAGGTCCAGAGGAGCCGGCTTCACTGGAAATTACAGGTGTAAACGGGTCAAAGAGTTCTCAAAATAAGACATGAATCTTTATAATAAGTCATTTGCTCCTGCTTTGTATGACTGTTCTGAAAAGTTATTTCTTAAAAAAAGCATAGAAGACATGAACTAATTAAATACTAATGAGGCTTTTTAAAAAGTAAAACCTCTTTAAACAATTTGCAATCTGCAGTGAAGCTGTTCCTAATATGTAATGCACATTTAATAAGCTACAGCACTGTGTGTGTGTGTGTGTGTGTGTGTGTGTGTGTGTGTGTGTGTGGTGTGTGTGTGTGTGTGTGTGTGTGTGTGTGTGTGTGTGTGTGTGTGTGTGTGTGTGTGTGTGTGTGTGTGTGTGTGTGAGAGTTTGTGAGAGTGTGTGAGAGTGTGACAGTCCGTGAGTGAGAGCGTGTGGGAGTGTTTGCCTGTCCATGAGCAGTGTTGGGCAAGTTATTTCCAAAATGTAATATATTACATATTACATATTACTGTCTTTTGAACGTAATAAGTTACATTACAATATTACTGTCTCTGAAATGTAATGAGTTAGACTTTAGTTTTTTTAGTTAGTTACTTTCACCAAAATAACCGCAAAAGAATGGCTAGGTATTTGAAATGCTAAAATGTAGTTCAGTGCAGCTCATTATGCATCCAGTGAAGGGCATTGTGGTATAGCATAACAACTGTGTAGGCCCTTAAGGCTACTGACAACTTGTATTACACGGCTTAGTTGAATACTGGATTCTGATTGTAACTTCTTAACATGTGACACGTTGTTAATCCAGCAGTACAGACCGCTGTCAAGGACTATGATGAAGGTTGCTAAGGAGGATCCAGAAAGAGAAAGGAAAAGAGGTTAAAAGACGGAGCGCTGGACGTCAGATAAATCACCAGAAGAAGGCAGACAGGATGTAAACAATAACAGGACAGGGAATGGGCTCTGTAGTGTGTTTAGTATATGGCCGTGGACAGGCCCGGCTCCAGAACCAAATGACTCAGGGTGCCTCTGAGGTTACAGGGGGCGCAGCAGTAGCAGGTTTACATGAGCAATAGTGGCAACAGCAATGACAAATAGCATTGATGGTCCCAATGAACAGATTATGGCCTTTGTTATGTTTTGAAACCAAGCAAGTGAGAACATTTCAAGTTAAAAGTGCAATCCTGAAATATTTCATATAGTCCAAAGTGGACTGTGGCAAAGAAAAGCACAACAGCTTCAAAGCTGTACTGATAAAATAAATGAGAACATATTGTAAATCAAGGCAACTATGATTTGAACCAGCTCATGGTTTGAAATGGCAATCATTGAAAAGCAAAAGTATTATTAAAACCATGTACTAAATCATCACCTTGGTCGCATCATATACTCTGGGAAGAGAATATTTACTGTGCTTGAAAACTGGTTCACATCATCATGTGAGGTTGACTTTGTGACCTGGAGAACATTTCAGCTGCAACATTAGCTTGTTGATAAGCTTGGGATATGAGATCTTTGTGTAGCCATTCGTGGTGAAGGCATCTGTGCTATTGTCTGCATTATGTTTGACCCAACATTTCTACAGGCATGGCAGAATATGAATCTATTTTCACATGAATATTCTCGCCCTTGTCTATTTGTATACCACGAGCTGCAAAATGGCCGCCTAACCCCACTGTACAGGCGGGTACTTGTTTAGATATACCTGGGCAGGCTCTGTTTTGCCGTGGTATCCTCTGCGGGCCGCAGACGGGCGGCGTAGTTTCGGGCGACAAAGACTGCTGCTCCAGGGGCGAGGGCGGCGAGTCAGGCGGGAGTAAGCTAGTGTCCACAACGGAGGGTAACGTGATGTCCCCATCTGACCTGTTGCTACTGTCTGCAGTAGATGCAGTGTTGCTGGCGTTTAGTGATGGTTGCTTTAACCATTTTCGTATAAATGATTCTCCACAGATTTTTCGCTCCGTTCTCTTTTTTTAATAGAGGGTGCATAACATTCAACTGGGGGTGCAATGCATGCCTATGCACCCCCGAAGATCCCGACGCGCAGGGTGCGAACTAGAGGGGAGCAGGGGGAGCTATAGCTCCCCTAGTGGTGACATGAGCTCCCCTGGGAACATGGTTTGTGACATTTGGGGGGAGCTCTCTAAAATACTGATATGATGACTACATAAATTCCATTTTGGGCATGTTTTTTTTTTCAAAGGTGTAAAATAAGTGAAATAAAATTATATTTAGAGTTTATGATTCATGAAAAAAGTGTCGCCTGCTTGCACGCTGCCCGCAGCTCCACCCACTCAATCACAAGCTCGTTTAGTTAGCACTGCATGTTTACCAGGCATTGTTGCTGCTGCTGACATGTCGAAAAGAAAAAAACAACTTACCTTGGGCAATTTCTTTAAAAAGACGGCCAAACAACCTGATCAAGAAGACCAACCGAATGTAGCTGGTGGTAGCACATCGTACGTTGTGACTGCTGCTATAACAGAACCGAGAGAGGAGGGAGCTAACGTCAGTGCTAGTGCTAACTTGACAGCTAACGTTAACTTGGGGGCTGAAGAGACACAAGAAGACGAGCCAAGAGAAGCTAACTTGATGACTATAACTACCATAGTAGAGGTCGAAAGAGATGTGGAAGAAGATGATGCTGCCGATGATGACCACCCCACCTGTTCTTCCTCTTCCTCCCTGCCTGCTGCTCGAGATGGGGGGGCGAAGTTGCTGCGGTGGTCCCGCGGCCGCCGGCTGGCTGGACCAGTTATCAAGTTGATTGAAGTTTGCGTAGCCCATACATGCTCGGGAAATCTGTTGACATGAACATGATCCATCGGGACGTTTCATGTAATGTAGACCTGTGGCACCACCCCGTGTGCAACAGATGTTCTCTTTATAATAGGCCTATGTCTGTGCTGTTGCTATTAATGCACGGATCAGCATTTACCCCCCCCCCCCCACCCCGCAAAAAAAAAAAAAAATCCCGGCTCCCCCGGAGACCGTGGTATAGTTCGCACACTGCCGACGCGAAGCCTGAAGGGTAAACACCAGGTTTACTAATCTACCCGCACAATTTGTCTGGTGTCGGAATATCTCTCTGTTAGTACATTCTTAAAAAACAAAACACCATTTCATTTCGGGTTGAAATGTGTTGTAACTGCGTTACTGAGCATTGTAACGGGTAATATATTACCCACATTTCATTAGTAATGTGTTACATTACTTCGTTACAGCAAAAAGTAATACATTACTGTAACTCCATTACTTTTGTAACGCGTTACACCCAACACTGTCCATGAGTGAGAGTGTGTGAGAGTCACTGAGAGTGTGTGCGAGTGTGTGTGAGTGTGTCTGAGTGTGTGACAGTGTGTGTGAGTGTGTGTGCGTGTGACTGTGTGAGAGTGTGACAGTCCGTGAGTGAGAGCGTGTGGGAGTGTGTGTGAGAGTCTCTGAGAGTGTGACGGTGTGTGTGAGTGTGACAGTGTGTGTGAGAGTGTGACGGTGTGTGTAAGAGTCTCTGAGAGTGTGAGAGTGTGTCTAAGTGTGTGAGATTGTGACAGTGTGTGTGAGAGTGTGTGTGCGTGTGAAAGTGTGTATGAGAGTGTGACAATCCGTGAGTGAGAGCGTCTGGGAGTGTGTGAGTGTGTGTGAGAGTCTGCGAGAGTGTGTGTGAGTCTCTGAGAGTGTGACAGTGTGTGTGAGTGTGTGTGAGAGTGTGACAGAGTGTGTGTGTGTGTGTGTGTGTGTGTGTGTGTGTGTGTGTGTGTGTGTGTGTGTGTGTGTGTGTGTGTGTGTGTGTGTGTGTGTGTGTGTGTGTGTGAGAGAGTGTGCTGCAGCCGTGTTGAGCAAAGTGGAAGCAGGTAAATAATTGAAATTAAAAGAGGCCGGAGAGAGGTGTTGTTTGATTCTTCTAGAATAACGATGTTTCTGTACCTCTGGTTCTGTGTCGGGGCTCTGCAGCACACTGGCTGTCCGTCCTCTCTGCAGACTGACTCACTCCTGCAGGGGTTCACAGAATAAAGAAGCAGAACAACATCAAACAGGATTCACTAGCATTACATTACATTGCATTTAGCTGACGCTTTTATCCAAAGCGACTTACAATAAGTACATTCGACCAGGAAGACACAACCTTGAAGAAAACAGAATCATATAAGTATATCAGGTTTCATAGAGCCAAACATTTCAAGTGCTACTCAACTGGCTTTAGATAAGCCAGTCCTTTATTAGTATATAAGTGCTTTGTTAGTAATTCTATCGCTCGAAGTGGAGTCAAAAGAGATGAGTTTTCAGTTTGCGCCGGAAGATGTGCAAGCTATCTGCCGTCCTGATGTCAATGGGGAGCTCATTCCACCATCTTGGAGCCAGGACAGCAAACCCACGTGTTTTCGCCGATGGGAACTTGGGTCCCCCTCGCAGCGAGGGCGCAACGAGTCGTTTGGCTGATGCAGAGCGTAGTGCACGCGCTGGGGTGTACGGTTTAACCATGTCCTGGATGTAGTAAGGGCCAGATCCATTCGCAGCATGGTAAGCAAGTACCAGTGTCTTGAAGTGGATTCTAGCAGTTACCGGAAGCCAGTGAAGGGAGCGGAGGAGCGGAGTGGTGTGGGAACATTTAGGAAGGTTGAAGACCAGACGAGCCGCTGCATTCTGGGTGAGCTGCAGAGGTCGGATGGCACATGCAGGTAGACCAGCCAGGAGGGAGTTGCAGTAGTCTAGGCGTGAGGTGACAAGAGCCTGGACCAGAACCTGAGTCGCTTTCTGTGTCAGCTGGGGACGTATCTTCCTGATGTTGTAAAGCGTGTATCTGCAGCAACGGGTTGTAGCAGCGATGTTTGCAGTGAAGGACAGGTTGTTATCTAGGGTCACACCCAGATTCCTTGCAGTCTGAGTCGGGGAAACAACTGAGGTGCCGATGTTGATTGTTAGGTCAAGAGTGGGACAATCTTTTCCCGGGAGGAAGAGCAGCTCAGTCTTGTCAAGGTTGAGCTTGAGGTGATGAGCAGACATCCACTGAGAGATGTCAGCTAGACAAGCAGAGATGCGTGCGACGACCTGGGTCTCTGAGCGGGGAAAGGACAGAATTAATTGGGTGTCATCAGCGTAGCAGTGGTATGAAAAACCATGCGGGCTAATGACTGATCCGAGCGAGTTTGTGTACAGGGTAGGGATGTGCATCTCCATCACTGAGGCCGATGCGATGCGCATCTCGATACGTTGCCACGATACGATACATTAACGATACATTTGAAATACTAGGCGATGCGATACGATACGATTCACCCCTGTTGTGATACAGTTCGATACGATTTGATTCAACATTATGCGATTTGGTGCGATACGATGCGATTCAACACGATGCAAAAATAATGATACTTCAATATGGTACGAGAGGATTTTTGTTTTATTCCTTATAAGCAGCAAATCATACATTAACAAAAAAGTGCTTTACATATTTGGTACTGCACATCCCATCATGCCGTTTAGTTTGTTGCCTTTAAAAGCTCTCCAGAGTATAGTACAATTCTATAACACCTCACAGTTAAACAATGTAAGGATGCATTGCTCATGATTAACAATGTGAAAATAACAGCTACTATAGTGCAACGCCCATACAGCTGCCAGCCTGATGTGCTTAACACTCATTCATAGGCTAACTCACCAGTGAGCAGAAAGCGGTGGGTTCTATATGAACAATAAAGAAAATAACCTTTCACAAACAGGTATTTCATAACTGCTTACAGTGAGGAATACATTTAAATTATTATTGGCCGTCACAGGCTGCTGTAAACTAAACACCACTCTCTCTGACAGAACACCTCACTGAGTGATTTAACTCATATGTCTAACTTTCAGGTTTCTCTTTTCAGCCGCAGACCCCATGTCGACTCTTTATGTGCGTCGCTAAGTTCCTCGTACTACTTGTGTACTTTAAATCGGCTCGGCATCGTTAACAATTTGCGAGCGATTTTTCAAGTTGACCGTCTGTGCCGCGCACATATACCATCAGGACGTTACTGATGGGGTGCGGCTGCGGAGTGATACTGTGTGTATGCAAGCCCGCATCTAGGACGGATCTATGTATCATGGCTGTAGAGTAGACCTGTTAAGTAATAAAGATACCTCATACAAAGGTCTACGGATACCTTATTACTCTCCATGACCTAAGGTCAACTATATAGCCTAGCATAAAGGACTATTACACCGTCTTTCTTGAACAATCCGAAGTGTTGCCAAACGTTTGATTTGTAGGTATTTTTTGGTGCGCTGTGTTTCTCTTTCCCCTCAACTTCCGTGTGTGTTGATAACTGAGACTCTCGGCCTCCGTAGTGGCGAAGCAAATATCAAAGATCGTCTCTGCTGAGCGTTGACAAGATGAGGGGATTTTATATGATGAATCGGTTTTTTACCGATGCAAAGACGCTACGCAATCGATGCATCGCGAGTTCAACCCGGTTCAACCCAAACTGTAGCCGATGTGCACTCTTTCAACCGGTGCACTCGCATCTTCAGCGTTTATGCCGGTGCACCGATGCGAATCGGTGAATCTTAACATCTCTAGTACAGGGAGAAGAGGAGGGGACCAAGAACAGAGCCCTGAGGGACCCCTGTAGTTAATTGACAAGGGTCGGACTCAGACCCTCTCCAAGTCACCCTGTAGGTACAGGAATGGGAAGGCTGCTGGTTACGTGCCTTTGTATGCAGCAACAGTCTCTCTGTAAAGTGGTGATTCCTTTTATTCCATTTCTTTCAAATAAAACCATAATAAAATTCACCTCTGCGCTGTGGTTTCAGGTTGCGGTGGATTGGGGGGGGCGCGGCCTCTCCTCCCGCTGTGGTGTTCCTCCGGAGGGGGGGAATGAGGGGGGAGAGGGGGGAGTTTCTGAAGCCCAGGTGAGCCGGGGGGGGGCACCTGTCGGCCCAGAGACGCCAGCTCACCTGAGGCTGGAGGGGGAGAAAGAGGGAGGGACGGGGGGAGGGGGGTCATCGGGACGTAGTTAGTGTCCTGGAGGGGGGGGGGAGTCGGAGCAAGGAGGGGGAGGCGCCCTGCAACAGGAGGAGAGGAGGTGAGACATCAGAGGGACTTTTTATAATTTATTATGAGATTTCTTTGCATTTTTGGGACTTTTTCCATAATTTTGGGGGATTTTTCAGATTTTTACAAATATTATAGAATGTTATTTATTTATTTTTTTTATTTTTTATGATTTTCTTCCACACATTTTCCACATACTTTCGAAGATTATTGACATAGTTTTGGGTTATTTTTCTGAATTATTCAAATATTTAGGGATTCTTTTAATGGAACATTCTTCACATGTTATTAGAAATTAATCTAATATTTTGGGAAATATTTTTAACACATTTTTTGGGTAATTCTTCTTCTTTATTCAAACATTTTAAGGATATTTTTAATGGACTTTTTACATTTATTTTTATGATTTATTTTCCAGACATGGTCCACATCTTTTTTCAAATTATTCACCTTTTCTTAGGACATTTTTTTATCTTTTGGGGTATTTTTTGAATTTATATTTTATGGACTTTTTACATTTATTTTTAAGATTTCTTTTCCAGATATCTTCCGATTGTATTTAAAAATGAGCCACATCATTTTGGGACTTTTTTAATACAATTTATCGGGTATCTTTCTGAATGTATTCACATATTTTAGAATACCCGTTACACAGGATTTTACTGCACACATACACACATTTTGAAGAGCCTTATCCTTTTCTAATATGTTTTTCAGTCTTTTTCCACATATTTTCTGAATTATTTTTACACATTTTTGGGGTATTTCTTTATACTTTTTTGACTTTTTATGATCATATTTGTCCCTCATATTTTTCTACTTATTTTACCAATATGTTTCGAATATTTTTCTAACATTTTTAGACGTATTCCTGCCTCACCTCGGTGCTACAGGAGGCTCAGTGGGGGCGGCGCTCATAGGAACATAATTCTCATCCACATCCTCGTCTTCAGAGCCCAGAGGCACCAGGCCTTTATTCATCTGAGGGATAAATAACATGATTACATATCAAATAATGACAACAGAACTCATATTTCATTTTGTTCTGGAGGTTTCCACTCACGAAGTAGCTGTTGAAGCTCTCGCTGAACTCGAACATGCTCGCTCTGTCCGACAGAGACCCAGAGATCAGGTCTGAATCACAGAAAACAGGTCAATATTTAGGGGAAAACACCTTTATTTATTTACCAAAATACCAAATAGTTCCTCTAAATGTTGCATGATTAAAAATCCAAAATGATTTCTATATACAAGAACCATTCCTGCATTTAAAATATCATTATCAGCTGAATTTGTCAAACTTTAAGACAAGAGGAAGGTCAGGAAACTGAGGAAAGGTGTGTTTTTAAGGCTGGACAAAACAATCCTGCTGATAGAAACTGTAGGGGGTTAAAGGTCTGGTTTTATTAAATTAATTAATTCAGATTATTTAATTATGCAAACAGGAACAGAGGGTTTATTGGAACAAACTCGGCCAGTTCTGCACAATAAGACTCTTGTTTGGTGGCAGGTTTAAACTCTGCAGGGTCAGAGGGACACAGATTATGATTCACATTGATCATTAATCATTTAATACAACGCTCTGAAACAAGTGTGATATTTGAGCTAAACACAACATATAAGGTATGTTTTAATGTTTTTAAAGGTCACCTATCATGCTATTTTTTGGCAACAGCATAGGTCTCAGATATATACAAATATATAAACAATATGTCTATGAAGTGTTTTGCTCAAAATACCAAACAGATCACCCATTCTAGCCATGCCTCATATCCCTCTATTTCACTTCCTGTTTCAAAAGTGATGATTTGGCGTATAAAGCTTTAAAAAAAAAAATTGATAAAAAAGAGGGGCGGAGCTTATGCGGGAGATTCTACCAGCAGAAACTACCGTGATGAAACGCCATATCATGGATTATCAAGGATCTGAAACAATTTGGAGCTCGAAGGCTTTCTCTCTTGCCGGTTATACCACAAGGTGAGTTCCTTTTTACTTCCTGCTTCTTCACACACATGCTCTCCAGTACAGGTTAGCTCTGAGTGTTAGCGATGCTAATGTGAACACCGACCATATTACGTCCAAAACCGTCGGGCATTGTTTCTGATAGCAACGTTTCTGATTGGGCCGTGGGTCCACATTTCAGATATTACGTCATATCGGACGCAAATCTGGATCAGCTCCGTTGTTCCCCCGTTTTTAGAGATTTGGGTACGGAGGAAAAGAGAGGGTTTTATTTTCTGACGCTGCGTGAGTTCCCCGACACACCGGGGACACAGTTATGTATAAAAGACATCACAAAGTGCATTTTGCATGATAGGTCTCCTTTAAGACTTTTTAATGCACACAAAATGCATCCTACACCTTCCAGTATTCATGCCAATGCTTGAAAACCCCCGAAATATATAAAATGAAATAAACTTTATTAATATATTTTCAAAGACAGGAAGTTTAATTTGTGTTTTTTTTTTATTTGAATTTGTTACCTTGACTAAAACATATCTGGGATCATGTTCCGACTCAACTCAATATATAACGTAGGTTAAGTGTTTCTAGACTTTTCAATTCGTAAATAATGTATATTATTCTATTAAATATTCATGCTGATGCTTGTGTTTTTTATGTAACTGTTTTAGAGCGTACATTTGACAAATATTACCTTTAAGTATTTATGAGGAAACTGCAGAAAACTGCAAACAAACATTTTCTATAATTGTGGGTTTGGGCAAAGGGGAACGTAAGAGGTTTGGATCCTTCCGCCTTAACCTTTTGTTTGTAAAGATGTGTATTTTAATGTTTGTCTCGTCATTTTTATGATTATTTTTCTGAATTAATCAACTTTTTTATTTTGGGATTATTTTTTTTATAAATCTTTTGCGATATTTTTCTGAATGTATTAAAATATTCTATGACATTTTTTGCGTTATTGAATCACTCAGACCTTTTTCACATTTGAGCAGAAATAGATTTCATATTTTTGGGAAATACATTTTTGTATGTTTTTCAGATTTTTCCAAATACATTTATTTTTTATTATTTTCCAGAAATTATCAACATATTTTTGGGACATTTTTGATGTGGTATTTTTCAGAATTTATTCAAATATGACATTTATTTACATTAATTACATATGACTCCTCTCACCTGTGTGATCAGTGATGGTGTTGCTCCTCGTCTCCTCTCCTCCTCCCTCCCTCCCTTCCTCCTCTCCTCCTTCCTCCCTCCTCTCCCTCTCTCGGGGTAGTGTTGCTCTCCCTCTCCCCCAAGATGAGCTCTCTTCCTGGGCCGCGGCGCTCTGAGGTTTTGGGGGTCGTGGAGGGGGAGTCGGGGTCAAAGAGTCAACGTTAGGGGAGGAAAAAGAGGGGAGACGAGGGATCTGATACCCACTATAGGAGAGAGTTTGGGGGAGAAAGAGGGAGTCACAGAGGGGGAGAATATCCACGGGTCGCAGGAGGAGATCCAGAGAGTGTTTCCGCGGGTGAGGAGACGGGTGACAGCGAAGCTTTCGTCTCTGGAGCTCAGAGGTCACGAAGGGGGAGGAAGAGGAAGAGGGAGAGGGAGAGGAGGAGGAAGGGGGGAGGCCGTTAGCAAGCAGGGAGGGAGAGGAGGAAGAGGATGAGGAGGAGGAAGGGGGAGGGAAGTCGTCGGGTTCGAGAGACGTGGAGGAACCCAGAGGAGGCCTGAAGACAAAGAGAGGGAATATGTGTTATTATCGTCTTCCAAAACATCCCAAATATCTCGATTCCTTTCCTTCATCTTGTCTTTGATCCTCCTTTCTTTCCTTACTTCTTAACTTATTTCTACAGACCATCTTTCCCTTTGTCGATTCTCACTTTCCTTCCTTCCGTCCTTCATCTTTCCTTTCATTTCTCCTTTCTCTCCTTCCTTCTTCCTACGGACCTCCTGTATCTTGTCTCCTTTCTTTCCTTACTTATTTCTACAGATCATCTTTCATTTTATCAATCCTCACTTTCCTCCCTTCATCTTTCCTTTCTCTTTCCTACGGACCAGCTTTCCTTGTATGCATCCTTGCTTTCCTACCTTGCTTCCTTCCTTCTTCCTATCCATCGTCTTTCTTTTTATCCATCCTCCCTTTCCTTCCTTCATCTTAAATCTTTCCTTCCATTCCTTCTTCTTTCCTTGTTCTTATCCATTACTGTGTGTGTGTGTGTGTGTGTGTGTGTGTGTGTGTGTGTGTGTGTGTGTGGTGTGTGTGTGTGTGTGTGTGTGTGTGTGTGTGTGTGTGTGTGTGTGTGTGTACCTGGCACTGTGTGTGTGTGCGTGTTTGTGTGTACCTGGTGTGCCTGGCACTGTGTGTGTGTGTGTGTGTGTGGTGTGTGTGTGTGTGTGTGTGTGTGTGTGTGTGTGTGTGTGTGTGTGTGTGTGTGTACCTGGTGTGACACTGTGATAACCACTGATATTCTTCTTCTTTGTTTCCGTCGTGCTGCAGGTTCCTCACACTCACCGGGTCGTAGGGGGGCGGGACTAAACGCGTTACCGAGGTTACACCGGTGACGTTGCGGAGGGGCGGAGTCATGGCAGCGATGGAGGCGGAGCCAGAGGCGGAGGGTCTTTCTGGGACTGCGGGGAGGAAAAGTTATATGCAGTACACATTATCCCGCTTATTACACGGCCAGATACCAAACAGACTAACGACTCGACTCCCAACTTGAAATTAAAAATTATCTTATTTATTCCGCAAAGAAAACACACTCAGTTCCACGGCGCACCAACGGCTGGAACCGAGACAACAACTTCACGGCAGCACTGATCGAGGTTCAAGTCTGTTTACAGTTTCTGATCCACGAACAAGTCCTTAAACACTACACAGCCCACATGTTCCGAATTAACCAATCAGAATCGAGTATTCAACTAAGCCGTGTAATAATGATGTTTAAATGTGTCTGTGTACCGTCTTCGGTGGACCAGCTTTCCTTTGATGCATCCTTGCTTTCCTACCTTGCTTCCTTCCTTCTTCCTACAGACCACATTTCCTACCTTGCTTCCTTCCTTCTTCCTACAGATCACATTTCCTACCTTGCTTCCTTCCTTCTTCCTACAGATCACATTTCCTACCTTGCTTCCTTCCTTCTTCCTACAGATCACATTTCCTACATTGCTTCCTTCCTTCTTTCTACTGACCACATTTCCTACCTTGCTTCCTTCCTTCTTCCTACAGACCACATTTCCTACCTTGCTTCCTTCCTTCTTTCTATTGACCACATTTCCTACCTTGCTTCCTTCCTTCTTCCTACAGATCACATTTCCTACCTTGCTTCCTTCCTTCTTCCTACGGATCACATTTCCTACCTTGCTTCCTTCCTTCTTCCTACAGATCACATGTCCTACCTTGCTTCCTTGCTTCCTTCTTTCTTCCTACAGACCACATTTCCTACCTTGCTTCCTTCCTTCTTCCTACGGATCACATTTCCTACCTTGCTTCCTTCCTTCTTCCTACGGATCACATTTCCTACCTTGCTTCCTTCCTTCTTCCTACAGATCACATGTCCTACCTTGCTTCCTTGCTTCCTTCCTTCTTCCTACAGACCACATTTCCTACATTGCTTCCTTCCTTCTTCCTACGGATCACATTTCCTACCTTGTTTCCTTCCTTCTTCCTACAGATCACATGTCCTACCTTGCTTCCTTCCTTCTTCCTACAGACCACATTTCCTACCTTGCTTCCTTCCTTCTTCCTACAGACCACATTTCCTACCTTGCTTCCTTCCTTCTTCCTACGGATCACATTTCCTACCTTGCTTCCTTCTTTCTTCCTACAGACCACATTTCCTACCTTGCTTCCTTCCTTCTTCCTACGGATCACATTTCCTACCTTGCTTCCTTCCTTCTTCCTACGGATCACATGTCCTACCTTGCTTCCTTCCTTCTTCCTACAAACCACATTTCCTACCTTGCTTCCTTCCTTCTTCCTACAGACCACATTTCCTACCTTGCTTCCTTCCTTCTTCCTACGGATCACATTTCCTACCTTGCTTCCTTCCTTCTTCCTACAGATCACATGTCCTACCTTGCTTCCTTGCTTCCTTCCTTCTTCCTACAGACCACATTTCCTACCTTGCTTCCTTCCTTTTTTCTACGAACCAGCTTTCCTTTGACGCATCCTTGCTTTCCTACCTTGCTTCCTTCTTTCTTCCTATAGGAACCACTTCAAAAAGGTATTTTTCCAAAAATGTGTCTTGAGAAAGAGGGGTCGTCTTATAATAATAATAATAATAAAATAACACACAACACTTATATAGCGCTTTTCTAAAAACTCAGAGACGTTGTGACAGAGAATAACACAACAACGAAGAAAATGCGTAAAGAGACAAACAAAAGCAGAACAAGAGGGGTCGTGTTATATTGGGGTCAATACGGGGTTTAAATGTGTGTGTACCCTCTTCAGTGGGGTTGAACCCACACAGCAGGCAGATGCAGGACACCCAGCGGTTCATGTCCTCCTCGGACTCGGACACCAGGTACCAGACCCTCTCCTCCGTCCGCAGGTCGAACACGAAGCTGCTCTGCAGCTCCTTCTTGGTGAACGTCAGCCCGGCGTCTACCTGCAGGAACGCTCAGCTGTTCATGTCATACATACTTCTTTGTGCTCCAGTCAGTCCTCTTAGTAAACACAGAGCTACAGATCAAATGCACGCTGAAGGCTCTTTGAGCAGCTTTATGTTAAATGTTTGTTGTGTGTTTGTCATGTATTGTGTCTTGATGTTTGTCTGTTACACATGGAGCTGCTGTGATGCAAGGAGCATTTCAGACTTGATCTGACCATTAAAGTGTCATCGGATTCTCCCTCCATTAATCACCTGTGCCTCGTTAGCACAAAACAAACATCGTGTTGGATGTTACAAGAATACAATAAATGCTAATAAAAGAAAATGGTGTTTGTTCTTGTTGGATTATAAAGACGTCATTTTGAAACATTTAAGATAAAAATTATGATTTGTAAAAAAAAAACAAATATACTCCAGTTTCCCCCATAATGCCACATAGCGGGTTCTCCACTGGTTTCCAACTGTGTGTGTGTGTGTGTGTGTGTGTGTGTGTGTGTGTGTGTGTGTGTGTGTGTGTGTGTGTGTGTGTGTGTGTGTGTGTGTGTGTGTGTGTGTGTGTGTGTGTGCGTACCTGTTCACACAGGTGCAGGTTGATGGTTCTGATTGGCCGGCGGCTCTGCTGGTTCTTGTAGTACTGCAGGACATCTGGTTCTCCACTCAGCCTGCCGCTGCGCAGCACGAACCAACGCCGCTTCCACGCCTACACACACACACACACACACACACACACACACACACACACACACAGTTATTCAAGTTCACATGAATGTTAAAAAACACACACACACCAATCCCTACTTTCAGGCTGTTCCCATCATGCACTAAGCATTGTGGGTAGGGTCCATCTCCCATGGGCTATCCACAGGATGACACCTCATATTTCACACATGACTCACTGTTCGTGTCGTGTGTGTGTGTGTGTGTGTGTGTGTGTGTGTGTGTGTGTGTGTGTGTGTGTGTGTGTGTGTGTGTGTGTGTGTGTGTGTGTGTGTGTGTGTGTGTGTGTGTGTGTGTGTAATAAAGTGAATTTCCATCACTCCAACAAACCAAATCCATCTCTTCCGATCTGTGTTGAACAATGTTTTCAACAAATCCAACGTGACCTCAAAAGCATGTGTCTCTCTCTGTGGATGTGTGTGTGTGTGTGTGTGTGTGTGTGTGTGTGTGTGTGTGTGTGTGTGTGTGTGTGTGTGTGTGTGTGTGTGTGTGTGTGTGTGTGTGTCTACAATCTTGCTCTCCAAACACAGACAGGAAGAGGAAATATCTGAACAGGAAATGCCGCAGCGGGATGGCAGTAGATGTGTGATTGTAGCTCTGTTTGAAGGTGCACAGAAAAAAAATCAGCATCAGGCAAAATAAATAAATATATATGAATATTTTTCTACGTCTTATTTTGAAAGGAACAGGCGTGATTACTGCACAGGAGCAAATTTGTTATTTTGATCGACAAAGTACCTTTTCCAAGCGTATTTGGCTAGCTAGTGCTAATGCTAACACATCTTCAGAACCTGTGTTGGTATTTCTTCTTCTCTCCTTTCATTTGTTTCCTCCTCTGACCTCCGACCCTGACAGGAAGTGGGCACAATGGATCTAAAATAACACTTCCTCCATCCTGCCTCAAAGCTAAATTAACACCAGACCTGGGCTGCATCTCAGGTCGGTTAAATGGATTCCTTGCGTCCTTCACTTGCGTCGTTTCCCTGCGTCTAGTCCCTCCTTCCAGGGAAGCAAGGAGAGACGCAAGGAAAACCACGAGAAGCAGGGAAATGAGTTTTAAGAGCAATGGGACGTCCTTTCCTCCGGAGCGCCACGTGAAGCGACGTCCGTTTGTGATGACGCCGCACAGCTGATCGTCTGACAGCAGCCAGCTCTGTCCCCGTTATTTCCACACACACCCCCGCCTCTGTTAGCACACATTTACTGACACAAACATGTGTATCATCTGTTGTAGACCCAAATAAATAAAATAAAATAAGAACTCATTCTCAAAAAAGATTTCTTAAAATGTAAAACGAAAAAAGCGATCATGAAAATGTTTCCAACAAATTAATAAAATGATTTGTGACCACTTTGTTGTTCAGATATATCACATATTTGTAACTAAATGAAACAGGAATTGAAACAAAACACAGTATAGACTGAGGAGTGAGTCTCGTGAGGTTCATATGTTTTCTTCACTCCGCTGGGAAATTGCTCTCATGTCAAGAAGCATCAGATCAGTGCATGCACTGCCTCGTCCAATCAGTGAGCGATACACAGTAAGGGGGCGGGGTGAGTGTCTGAGGATTTCATCGGAGGATGGTCTGGTGGGTCCTCGATTATCGCTCCTCCATTATCGCTCCTCGGTCCTCCGGCAGAAATAAGAGCCATGGGACGGTAAGATGACGCAGACAAATCAACTTCCGGTGAGACCGAGACCGAGGAGCGAGGAAATGAAAATAACCGACCTGAGACGCAGCCCTGAAAACAAGTGCTCTCTTCCTCATTCACTGATCTATTCCTCCTTTTCCTCCGACGACATATGACTCCACTGGAAACTGAAATTAAAAGTCTCTAAATTGAATTAAATGCTCAGCCTGTACGTGTTTGAAACTCACAAATGTGGAACTTAAAGACCTCAAGATGATTATAAATTGAAAATAAAACTATAGACTTTTATTAAAGGATCATGTTTTATTATTACTTCCTAGTTTTGGTCTTCATTTCTGTTATGATGGTGTGCAATCACCAGCTTCTATGAAATCTGCAAAATGTATGTTTTTTTTCTTAATAATGTGTAATTTAATAAACTTCAAGGGGCTTTCTGATGCAATATTTATCCCAAAAATAAAAAACCAGAGGAAAATAATCACAGTTTTGCAAAGCAGAAATAGCAGAATAGGGCCCCTTTAAACGTTGCTCCGATTATTTCACAATAAAAGCACAAAATCACCAAAATCTATTCCTATTTAAAACAGATTATATCCAAATAATATATATATAGAGATTACAGATATTTAAACTGATAGTTTGTGTGTGTGTGTGTGTGTGTGTGTGTGTGTGTGTGTGTGTGTGTGTGTGTGTGTGTGTGTGTGTGTGTGTGTGTGTGTGTGTGTGTGTGTGTGTGTGTTATTACACTGAATGTTGCAGAATATATAATTCTCCTTGGTTTTGTTCCAGTCTCTCTCTCTGTGGTGTGTGTGTGTGTGTGTGTGTGTGTGTGTGTGTGTGTGTGTGTGTGTGTGTGTGTGTGTGTGTGTGTTTCCAAATCTCCTAAATCTTCATGGAGGCCCCGCTCCCAACCAGGCCCAGCTGAGAGTGATTAGCTTATTACACACACACACACACACACACACACACACACACACAAACACACACACACACACACACACACTTTTAGAACAGGGAGTGTATGTATGATGACAAACACTCCACAAACTCTTGGCTCAACATGAGTGTGTGTGTTGACACACAGCTGCTCTGACAGTGTGTGTGTGTGTGTGTGTGTGTGTGTGTGTGTGTGTGTGTGTGTGTGTGTGTGTGTGTGTGTGTGTGTGTGTGTGTGTGTGTGTGTGTGTGTGTGTGTGTGTGT